ACCAATTATCGCATTTCATGTTATACAAAAAGCTAGAGTAGTAAAAGATAATAAAACCGGACTTATCAAAACCCTTATTGAAGGTGTGTGTTCCTTATTTGATATGGGAGCAATTAAAACAGATAAGGAAAAACCACTTAATCAAATACAGATTAACAAAAATATCACAAAATTAAAAAGAAAACTTGGAAACAATACTAGTAATCTTTATTAGCATTTACTTTTGAGTATAAGGAATACTTCTATCCAAGAATTAACATGGCAAAATCCTTTGGCTAGTCAAATTATTAGAAATAATACCCCACTTATACAAAATTTACAAAATAACACAAAAACAAAAGGCTTATACAAAGTATTTATAGTATGAGTTTATTATTAAACAAACCAATTCCTATAAATTATTTCTAATATTTTTTGTTGTGGTCTTTATTTTAGAAACCGGTCAGACAAATAAACCTGTACTTCTATTAAGTGTTAAAAATAAGTATAGTAAATTTTTATCAAGTTTTTCTAATCATAATTATAGCAGATTTCCATAAAAGTTGAATCATAATAGGACATAGAAAGAATCTGAAGAGAAAATTTTATTTGTTGTAAACAAAATTTTTAGTACTATGAAAGACATTTGGAATAATTCAGCTCTTAACTTTGAAGTAGCTGAAATATTAAATGAGAAAACTTATCAATCTACTGTCATTATACCATTTATTTGAGCTGTACTAAAAAATCTTCCTTTTAGATCTTCATTTATTAACATATCAGAAAGAAAAAGTACTGCTAGTGCAGATAGAAAAAGAAATGGTCAAGCAGGAAAATATTCAGATATCATATTTATAGTAAAATATTTGGATATGCTCTTCGAAATTATGTATATCGAATACTCGAGATTGGTTTATACATCTCAAAAAATGATAGATGATGATGTTAAGTTATGAAGAGAATATAACGATGGTATGTATTATATACGAAAAACTTTTAATCCTAAAAAAGATCAATTTGGAATTGTTGGGATACAAATAGCAGAAGATACTTTACATCTAAGCATTCTTATCAGAGATCAAATGAATATTAATAGATATTATAATATAGAATCGGCAAAAATCCCTGTGCAAAAATCAGAAGAGACTGTTGTAATTAAATTTGTAGAAACCCTTCTCCTTTTATGTAACATAGTAATTACAAATTTGTCTTTACTATATCATAGATCAGTATGTATATCTGAAAGACAAAAGAAGACAGTACAACTGTAAATTCTGAATAAGATTCATTCTTTCCTGTTTTTATTATCGTATCAATAAAAATTAAAATCTGGCAGTCTGATTTCGTATAAATAGGGCATTTTGAAATTTATTGCTATTGATATTATATAATCGTAAATTTTGCACTATATATTAAGGCACAGAAGGTGGTTTCATAGTGATCTTATTGGCATAGATCATTTAAAAAAATCTGATTGGTATACCTGTGACTAATACTCTAATCATAGAAACAAATTTTGTTATTAAATAAGATTCTATTTGAACAGTTCTAATTAACAAATTATTATACATTCCTATAGAATCAAAATAACAAAAAAATAATCCCTTTTAGGTAATTAGTTGTCAAGATATCTTCGCTCAAGGTTCAGAAAAAATATCACAATTTTGATATCCAAGTTTTTTACATGTTCATGTTTAATTATACATTGATCTACTTATTGCATAAATTGTATTCTTGATATTTTTGTAAATCACTAACCATAAATATATCAAAAAAGTAACCCTAATACTAGACACGTAGCTATAACACTGATGTAATTTACTTGAAATAGAATATTATAGGATTTTTATAGCATATCACACAATAGAAAAGATTTTTTTTATTTGAAAATATAATTTTTTTATTTTTTTATCTAATATAGCCAGGCTTGTGATTGTGCAATTAAATCTGCCCTTTCAATTGCATCTTCTAT